ATCATCCTCCACACTATTCCTCCCCTTTCAATCTGATTTTTCTAACTTTACCCATCTTCCTGTTTGCCACTTGCTTCCCACCTGATACCATTACACTCCCCAAGTCGCTACCAGACGGTTGCTACCAAATTAAAATATTTTTTACAAGAATGAGTGTAAGCGCCAATATTTCCGGCGTGTATTCGTTAATCTTTACATTTCATTAATTGCGACTACATCGAAAAAAATAGTTAGAGTTGCCGCCCTTGACAAGTACGATCAGCCAATCAGCATCTTCTCTCTTCGGTAAACTTTTTTCTGACAACATCTTGTTCACTTTTCCTTTTCTTAATACAACTAGTCATCAAGTTACGAGCGTCAAACAATAATTCTGTATCCTAACACGTATTCATAAGTTTAATTTTGTTCTAAAATTATCTCTGTGTCTTATATCATGTTTATGATTCACCATAGAATCCATTGTTCTTTTATGTACCCCGTCCCTTCAGTGATTATGATTCTCCACAACTTCCTGTCTGTTGTTGTTCTAAGCCACTGCTGACCGTTGACCATCCCTTTTTCTTTTTGTTTTGTCAGTTATTCACACAACTAAGATATATCTATAGAAATAATATGAATAAAGACAAAAGGAAAAATTTAATTACTTTAATAAAAAAGAGTAAAGAAAAAATTAAATAAATAAATATATATAAATAAATGAGAAAATCTAAAAAATTCAACAACAATTGCAACATTTACTCACTTTTGTTTATCAAGCATTAAATTCTATCACTTAGCATCCTCCATAGTTTACCTTGACTTTCACAGTTAACCCAATGAATATTTATGAACGTTCTTAAATTTTTAAAATTTGTAAATCTAACATCTTTACTTTTGTTTATAAATACTTGTGGCAAAATAAAATCCTTACAGTAGCCCTGATAAAGTCTATCAGGGAGTGAAATTCGCCGGTAATGGTCTCCTTTTGTTTTTATTTATGAAATTCTAATAATGGTTTTAAAGCTGGACATTCAAAAAAGTACATCTTCACATAATATATACTTTCGTAAAATACATCTATTGGGTGCTTTGGTACACATAATCAGTAATGTTTCTAGCTGAGGTTCATTAGGGGTTTCAGGTCTTTCAGCATCATACCCCATTTCCACGGCTCTAAATGTCTGTAGGACAACTAATCGACAGTCAAGATAATAGTGTCTTGGCGTGATAAAACTCTGATGCGATCAAGGATGATGCAATATTTTTCAATATTTTTCGGGGCCAAACAAATTTCATCATACACGCGAAAATAGATTCACATTACTGCACATTACTGCAAATGACCTAATCTGAGAAAAAAAAAAAAAAAAACAGAAATTGATTACGCCCTGTCACTCCAAAGTGACTGTATGATGAATGAAAGGAAACTAAAGCGATTGTTTCAATTAATTTGCATGAGGGTGTAAATACATGTTTTATTAAATTAAAATAATATAATAAATAATAGTTACATTATAAATATAGAAAAGTTTCAAGAATAACATTTACTCACTTTTGTTTATTAAGCATTAAATTCTATCACTTAACATCTTCCATAGTTTAACTTGACTTTCACAGTTACCCTAAAGAATATTTATCAACGTTCTTAAATTTAAAAATTTGCCTTGATAAAGGCAAATGTAAGTCCATCAGAGGGCGAAACGTGTTGCTAAAAAGAAAAGTTTACGTTTTGTCTTTAATCATATATATATATATATATATATATATATATATATATATATATATATATATATATATATATATATAACATAAAATTTCATATAAGTTAATAAAGGGGTCCAGTTTTCTGTGTAAATTTATTGTAAATTGATCCGTCTACAGAAGTGCAAGAAAAATTGAAAATTCCGAAATCAAGAAGTGACCAAACTTTTCGTTCCTTGTGGCGATGACAGTTTAGAGAGGCTGTGCATTCTACAACGAATTCTTATTTACTAAACGTAGCTTAGTTTTGGCACAAAGCTAGAAGTATTGGGCTTCTGATAAGGAATGATCTCTCCGCTAAATATTTTATAAGTCCAACTTACCGACTTTTATACCACGAGGAGGCGCCTTTTATTTACATTACTTCATTGCAGTCGAGAGCACGTCGGATCTAACGGCCATTCCTGCCACACAGGAGGACGCTAGTTCGAATCCTGTCAGAGTGCGCATATTTTTTTTATAAGATTTCTTAAATATTCATGACAGTAGATGAAAATGAATGAATCTACTGTTTAAGTTGGAGTAATGGATAACGGCTCGAATTGAGGAATCGGAGAGCCGAGTTCGAATTCTAGTCGAATGCATTACATCACTTAAGTTCTAATACCCTTGGGAAAGGTATGAATCCTCTTCTTGTCCCCCAGCTATGGGTAAATCGTAGAACAGAGCGTCTTGGGTGACAACCGGTCTACCGCAGAAAGGAATGGCAACCTACTGCAGGAAAAAAATCTGCCTCGAAAGATATCACGCATGGCACATAACGGACTGAGTGTTTAATAAATGAGCGGTTCGTCTCTTATATACGGGTCGTATTTAAACGATTAGTCTGATATATAAGGGTCGAATTTAATTTAGAAACTCTATAGTTTTTATAAATTATCCCTATATATTTTCTAAATTAAATACGACCCTTATATATTTTACTCATTTCCGCAATACGTTGGAAACATTTTCGCCTCTTTTCTGCGTCTATAGTGAAAAGGAACGGAAGAAAATCTTGATAAAACATTGTAAGGTAAATATAAATGTCACCAGCAAGAAAATTCATACGAAATATTCCTGCTTTATTTATTTCTCTTTTTTGAAACTTATTTTTATTTTATTTTTTTTTTAAATCTGGTTTCCTTCCTTTAACTTTTTGTTCTTTCCGTCGTCTCCCTTTTTCGATTCCTGTTTTTATATTTCCTTTCTTTTTTTTTTCCTGTCACCATTTCATGCGCATGCGTGAGTGGATTTTATCCGTTTTATCCCCAATTTGTGGTTATCTGTCTTGTCAATGATAACTTCCACCAGGAAGAGCAATAACTTAATGGTCCAAGACAAAGCGGCAATGCAAAAGAACCATGCCGAGTAGAAAACATAACATCTTAAGCCTAACTAAACATATAGCAGCAATGGTAGTTTGCCTTACCCAGTTCATAATTTGACACGTTTTAAGTTTTTCTTTCTCAGTATTCGTCGTTTTTCCTCTCCTTCTTTGTTCTCTTCATTATTTTTATTATCAGTAGTAGTAGGAGGAGGAAGAGGAGGAGGTTGTCTTTTCTATTGCTATTGTTTGTTCTTGTCACACAATCCTTTCGCTTGATCTTTTCTCATTTTCTTTTTTCTTTACTCTTTTTCCATTTTAATCACATACTTAGTAATTGTGGTAAAACAAACCGATTACCTCCCCTGTTTTATGATTTGTATAAATAAGTCACACCGTCTTAGACAAAACGGCAAGACCCTTCAGTTATGTTTAATAAAGGCACGTTAAGCCGAACTAGAGTCCGAGTTTTCATTACAGTAATCTTTATTTTCTTTCTGTTTTTTTTTTTTTATTCTTCATTTGGTTATCAGCATTTTTCTTCTCTTTTCTTTGTAAATTTTAGCTGCCTTTCTTTTTCTTTTTCTTTCTATTTTTTATACTATATTTTCACATAGATCATTTTTATCAGGTTTTCCAACAACTTCCTCTTATCATCTTTCTCTCGTTGTAACTATCCGCTATTATTATTCTTCTGTCATGCTTTCTTTGCAAGAGTCAGCATAGACCAAAAATGGAGCATTTCGGCCCTATCTTGACTGGCGCTGTCCAATCTTCACTTTCCAGCCTTAATAGATCATCTTGTGTAGGAAGACTCATTTTCCACTCACCAACCACTTTCCTACAAAAGCTACTCTATTGCTATTTCCATGGCAAATGTTTAGATGATATCCAGTATTTAATCCAACCAGTTCAGACCTTCACAGCTAGAAGACACCATGCCACATCAACAGAGTCGAGTCACCCTTATTTCCTCAGTACTGCAAATGTAAGAAGAAAGCTCTAATCAAGCAGCTTTTTTTTCTTCTCAAGAACTGCCATTTTGTGTGTACTTCGACGTGGGTGCTTCCTTGAACAATTGAATCTTGACCTGTTCAAGTCAATAATCTATCGTCGTCTTTCCTTTTGATGCTCATAACCTACACTTCCTAAAATCTTCTCTTCAACTCATGCCACACACTTCATTCATCAGGACCGTAATCCTCTACCTTGAGTAGCTCTCGAGTCTGGTATTGCGTGAAATTTAGTATATAAAAATAGTTCTTAAACCTTTGTTTTGCTATGTCTAGCACAATATACAGAATGTTGGTCATTCAGTGAGAATCAAACCCTGTAGTGTAGCAGTTGTCTGTGAGATTATCGCCTCTATCATGACTACGGATTATCTATCATGACAATGGATTCAGTTCCGTCAATTTTACGACGTTTCAACTCTTGATGATTAATTAATGTCAAATTTTGTGTTGGGGTATCCAATGAGGGGCGAACTCAGTTGTATGACTAGCCTCGTTAACCGTTACCCAACGCCGAGGTGCATACGACCCTATGGAAATGAGCCCAAGTTATTTGCTAGGTTTTTAGCCTAATTTGTTAAAGGGTCACATATGTGAGGCACACAAACCTATTACGATTGCCATCATCGGTGAGACTAGTTTGCAAGCTATTGCTCTACGGCAGGGCAATCTAAATTGTTATCTTTTTTCTGTCTTTCCTTTATTTTTTTTATTTATTTTTGCTTCTATTTTTTAATTGTTCATCCTTTTTTCATCTTTTTTAAAAAAAAAATATTTTCTTAAATTCTTGTCCCCCATTTTACTCGCCTTTTGCTTTTACACTTACGTTACACTCAGTTTTTCATTCAGTCAATATACTTATATTTTGTCATATTTTTCTGTATAACTTCATTTATTTATTTATTTATTTTCGCTGTCCTCTTTTTTAAAACTCCACTTAGTTTAACCTCCCCCTTTCACTCCCTCTCGCCTCCCTCCCTCTCTCCCTCTCGCCCCCTCTCCCTCCCTCTCGCTACTTTCTCTCCTAACTTTTCTTTTTCTATCTCCTACAACGCCTTTCCACACACACCCCTTCTTGCGTCATTCTCTTCCATTCCACCACCCCCCACTTCTAGCCCCCGGTCGCTTGTCTCCTACGGAGGCAATGCACAATGCCGCAAAAAACATGTGTTTCTATTGACTTTGCCAGCACCATCCCTTATTCGCTGATTCATGTTTGACAAACTAATAAGAATGCAAAGTGACAAGCAGAACATTGACTTCGAAATGCCATCAACCGATAGAAAGCAGCGAGCTAACGTGTTGCTGAAAGAAGAACAAACCAGAAACGATTTTTTTAAAAAAATGATTTCAATCCAAGCAAGGCGATAATGCCACTCAGACGCAATGGGTTACTGAGAGTGGAAGAGAATGAGAATACATTAGTTTCGAGGAAGGACAATAAAAGAACAGGTTTCAGGAAGACAGAAGATTGCGGTTGACGTCGTATTTAAATTTGTGAAGATTATATGTGACAGGGAAGCAAGGAATCAGAAGTGAGTTCTACAGCTGAGAAATACGAGAAAAGAAACCATTAGAATAGGACTTACGGTTGCTTCTAGCTATTTCAACAGTAAAACAATGAGACCTAATTGCCAATCTAGTAGTACGCTTAGATTCATGCAGTCGAGGTACTAAAGATGAAAGCTCATTAGAATAATTGCCATGAAAATATTTATAGAAAAGACAGAAGGAAGCCACATCCCGGCGGTGGGAAAGTGACTGAAGTCAAGATGCCAGGTCAGGACCTATAACCTTACGAAAATATCTAGTTATATATATAGTCAGAGCATCAGACTAAATATGGCAGCAATATTCAATGCACGGACGAGTGGAAGATTTATAAACGTGCGAAATGGTTTCTAACAATAAAAAAATGTCTGACGTGATACGGTAAAGCAACCTTCTTAACAACAGACCTAGCAATTGATTCTATACAATGGCTACACTTCATGTCAGTAGAAAACATAAGCCCAAGAAGAGGCGCATAAAGTTTCATTAGGTTAGCATCCGCCATAGTGATGACGAATAAATAATTGTTTTTTTATGATGATTAAAGGATAGAAGTTTCATTTTGGAGGCGTTAAAATATACGTATTCAGCTTTCCAAACATAACTACAAAGGTTGCAGGGCAGTCTTTAATGGTTCGCCAATCAAATTATAATTTTTACATTAGCTTTCAATCTTGATTCTCTTTTGAATCAACGAACTATTGGGTGGCTATGAATTGCATAAAAGACAAGCCATTCTCATATATCGTTTCGTGTTCAATTAGCTGTTAATAAGCGTTTTTAACACAATCTGAAATGTAATAAGAAACTAAGTATTTGAAAAGAATAGTGCCACACAGTCTTCCAATCAACATTTGGACTTCCCAGGAAATATAAAAAAGAAATTGACTTCTGCTGGTTTCTTTTTCCTGAGGGAAATCTATTCTTTAAATAAATAATGAAGAAAAGTTATCTCCATTTAAATATAGGGTGTTTCATTAAGACGGATCAATGTCAGCCGTTTATAAATCAGTGTTATTGGTGAAAAATTATTTATTTCTCTATTGGATCATGTTATTTAAGTCACGGCAATTATGTGTGAAAAATAATATCGCTCAAATGTCCGCCAAGAGATGATGCGACCTGGGAATTTCTCATTTAAATTCTGTGTGAACGTCCATTTTCGTAATATACTTCGATAACTTTAACACGTTGTTTGATTGTTAATCTTTCCATGGTTGAAATTGCCAAAGACTTAAGTTGTTAAATCTGAAAGAAAAAGAAAAAAATCATTAGACACTTAATCTTAATTCACATTTAAAATCGATCCAAATTATTGGAACATCCTTTATATTAGCAAGTTTTAATCGGGAAAGATACTACTTGGATTTGCTAAGTGTCGTATTTCAGGCTTGAATGTTTCAGACAATGAATTACCATTATTATATATTGGTTTTGTTTTGACAAGTATCTTCATCTTGGTTGTTTTCGTCGACAACTTGGCCAATCTTTGCTAGAGGTTTTCTGTATCTAATCGTGTATTATGTTGGGTACCTAGCAAGGTTATAATTTTTGTCAGAATTTTTTAGATTAGGAATGACCATTATTACGCAGTGTTTTCATCAAAGTTGTGTTCGTGACATTTTTGCTGTACCAGTCTTTGTTGCCGCTTTTTAGTCGTCTCTAATTGCGTATGACGCCGAATCTGTACTGATGCAATAATTTTTATCGGAATTTCTCAATTTTTCATTATGATAGAATTTTTTAGCCAAGAAAAGTGTCTTCACCTTTGTTGTTTTATTCACATTTTGGCTGGACAATTAATTACCGAAGGCTTTCTGCTTCTCACCAGGTACTGCATCGACTAATAATCCGATGTAATACTTTTTCTTATATTTTTTTCAGAATTTTTTAAGAATTGTCATTTCTATATAGAGATCTTCATCTTGATTGTTACGTTGCGTCGATAATAAATGTAATCTCGACAACAATCCGAGCAAACCAGTGTATCATACTCTATTTCATATTGTATAACTTAAGCGTGTTAAATCAACTTCAGCACCTAATTTAAGTTTCTGCGTGCTATTTATATGCAAAGTATGAATTTCCGGCTCCACTCGATGGAGCAAATATTTCTCGATTAAGCATGTAAATGAAAAAACTTCAGCTAGCGTGCGGACATTAGCTATTTTGCATTCATGTCCATGTTATGATAATGAAATGCACTTTTGATGGCGAGATACACTTAAAAAGGGGATTAATTTCAAGCTTTTCAAGAGTAGGGCCATAAATATTAATTTGAAAGGCGCTGAAAATGAAAGTTCTTTTCCCTATTTTCTCAAATAAAGATGATAGTCAGAATTTTTAAGTATTCAAAGATTCTGATAATAAAGAAACATTCAGTCAGTTATGTGCCATACGTGATACACGCTTAGGCGACCATGTATCTTTCGATACATGACTGACGAGGCAGATTTTTTCTTGCAGTAGGTTGCCATTTCTTTCTGCGGTAGACCAGTTGTCATCCAAGGCTAGAGAATCCGGTCTGTCCTGCTATTTACCCATAGCTGGCGTGGGGAGAAGAAGAGGGTTCATACATTTCCCAAGGGTATTAGCACGTAAGTGAATGTAATGAATTTGACTGGAATTCGAACTCGGCTTTCCGAATCCGAAAAGAAACATTAAACAGTTGATTCCCCTACCTACCTTACTATCTTTTTGGTGAAATTCCATCTAGTATCAGTCCCCTTATACGGCAATGTATACTGGACAATTTCCTCATAGATGGTATTTATCAATTCACCCACAGGAATTGAATGTGGCACAAGGCCTTTTTAATGTGGGTATCTCTGAGCCCGTAGGCCCAGCCAAAAATAAAACACATCTAAACCCGTCCAAGCGGGCCAGTTCCGTCAACCTCACCCAACGAAACCCTACCCTTCGGCGGAGCTTCGTCCGGGTTCCTCTCTGCAAGCAGAGAGTTCGACAGACACCCGACCCGGCAGCTCACAAAGCACAGATACTACACTTTGATCCTAGCCACCGGGCCGAGCGGGTATTCTTTTTATAGAATTGAAGCAACAAATGTAGTTCTACAGAAGGATCCTGAGAATGTTATGGATAAAACATGTGAGCAATGAAGAATTTTTAAATAAAATGGTAACAATAAAGATGCTCTTAAAGAGTTGAACTTTCTATGACGCATAATGAAAATAGGCTTGGAGAATTTTACACTCACAAGACATACTGAAAACAAGAGAAGCAGAGAGAAACAGCGAGTAACATGCCTAAAGAAGACGTGTAAATTGCAGAATATAGACTAGGAGGGATAAGAAAAAGACAAACATTGCTAAGAACTGCAAAGAGTAGAATGTTGTGGAGAGCCATGAACGCAAACAGAAAACATTTGTAGTGTGATTTTGTCATGGATTTTTCATCTTAAAATTTAGGGTGCGCATTATACATAGGGTCTGGTTTTATGTTCTAAAATTCCATAATTAAGTCAACTGCAAATAATATTTAAATCATAATGCTCTTAAAAATCAGGAATTGGAAATGCTATATACTTAGATTAAGATTTCATAATTGTTTTTACATTCCCACGAAACATCTTGAATAGAATATCAGCTTACTACCTTGGGAGTCCATTACTTGTTGTTACTTATCTCAGTATACACGAGGGAGAAGATTTCTTGAAAGAAGCATTAAAATAGCCAGCTTTCACCTTCTTTCACAGTGCGATTCAAAATGAAACTTCCTACTTATGGAGACATTGATGTACTTTTAGATGAGAAGTAGACACTATAACCACCTGCTGTATATTGCTCAACTGACAGGACAAGAAATTCAGTCATTGTGCGTTTTTACGACCGTGAATGTAACGAACTCGACCGGAACTAGAACTCAGTATCGCCGATTTCTCGTTTGGAACGGTTAACCACTACACCACTGGCACATTCAAAATATATGCGTCCATTTTTCTTCTGCACATTTTGTTGTTATTCATATATTGTTTTGTCTTTTCTTACAAAGATACACAAAGTTGTATCAACATACTATTGCTACTACAAATACTACTACTAATAATAATGATAATAATAGTAATAATAATGAATAAATGCCCTAATGCTACACTAGTCCTGATTCGCATGCTTTATGGTCTTTATTTGAGGCGTTAAAGTGTACATACCGTTCAGTAACATAGTTGCTTATCAGTTGTCTGAATTTAACACACTGTGCATCTCTGTTCATGAGCGAGAGTAGTAAGTAAGTATCGTATCTGCGTGTCGAATAGGATTTCTTTTAAGTTTGATGGCTGAAGCGTTCAAATCAATTTGGGTCTCAGATCAGAATATTTGGGAACATTCTCAATCGGAGACCATCTGAGCGGACTGGGTTATCCGACCCGAATTTAGTACGAATTGGATTTCATCTGTAAGTTTATATGCAGCTTTTATTAAAAAAAATAGTAAGACCAATGCTTACCTATAAGCACAAGTATAAACACGACCCATTTTGACCGTAACAATTGTTGATAGGTCGTAAAATTCATTAACTGAACCCAATCCAATCTATTATATCAGTACAAGACACTCAGGTAATAATAATAATTATTATTATTATGATAATAATAATAATAATAATAATAATAATAATAGAAGAAGAAGAAGAAGAAGAAG